GTATTCTTATTTATTTTCTGGTCAAATTTCATCATGTCTAGCTAAGAGGTCTGACTAGGGCTAGGGTAGAACCTCAATAAAATACAGTATTATTTTGACTTATTGATTTAATGGTATGTGGTATTTTGTTAATTTAACTTTTGAGTATTAGTAAAGTTTTTGTTCTGTAAAGATTCTTGAGTCGTTGTGTCTTATACTTTGATTTCTTAAATTTCCCTGCAAGACAAATAACAAGTTATTCCTTGCTTAATTTCATTATAATTTATTTCACATAATAATATAACTAGAGGATTGTGTTGTTAAGTCAGGAATTCTATTGCTAAAAAAGTTTGATTTATTATAGACTCCGGGCACAGTAAATACTTATAATCGGCAATCAGTTCTTTGATTTTTCTGAATAAACTTTTGGTTATAAATAATGTTGTTTTCTTGTTCTCATTGCTAAATTTACTGACTGGAGTCAGTTGACAATTTGACTCTTGTCTAGATTTGAAAACTAAATTTTTAATCATTACTATATAAATTTGAGAGGGTGTATCGGATGCTTTAGTACTTTACATATTGTTTTAATGAATTCATTTACTTATACCAATTCAAACACTCTTTGAGAAATATTTTTACAAATTTGTTAACAGAATATTTTTACTATTCTCTGAGGGTTCAACCTCGGTCATCCGAGTCTATATTATTTTGTACAATCTATGCTTGGGTTAACATATTTAAAGTTGTACCAAGTTTTGGTGCTGTTGCCGGGGAACTGTTGAAAGACAAGGAGCCACCATTACATTTATTGAGGTTTCGTGGTTTACGATTCGTCGGAGATCTAATAACTCCATTCCACTTTTATTTTGCTGAAATTAATTTTTTTTGTCATTTAATTTTGTTTTCTGTTTTTAATCGTTTTTTTAATTATTTTATGAGTTCTTAATATCGTGATTTGAGTGGACGTTTAATAAGAGAAGACTTAGATACTCTACTTGTAAATTTATTTGATTCTTCTAATTCAAATCATACATCTCACACAATGGCTGTAGATCCTAATAATAACAGGAGAAATAATTTTCTTAAACATGAGGATCCTGATGACAAAATAAGTAATCATGGTGAGAATGATGTCGATAATCTGAATGTTAATCAAGGTTAGACTGTGCGTGAATATTTGTAACTTGCACGTCATACTACACCTTCATGCATCATTTTTTATTACAGGTCACAAATTTTATTTTTAAACCTGGTATAATTACATTGCTTCCAAAATTTTATGGCATGGATTCTGAAAACTCTTACCTGCATATAAGAGATTTTGAGGAAGTTTTCTGTAAAAACAATCTAGTTGAAGCTCTTTCCTTTCTCATTAAAGGGAAAAGCTAAGACTTGATTGTATTCTCTCACTCTTAGGTCTATAGGCACATGGCCAAAGATACAGAAAGAATTTTTGAAAAAAAATTTCCCTACACATCGTACAAACTCTTTTAAAAGGCAAATCATAAATTTTTCTTAAAAATAGTTTGAAAATTTTTACCAAAGTTGGGATAAATTTAAAGACCTTCTTGCATCTTGCCCACGTTATGGATATGAGAGCTGGCGTGTGATGAATTTCTTTTATAAGGGTTTGACTCCTCAAATGTGCCGATTTATAAAAATGAAGTGTAATGGTGATTTTATAAATAAGGAACCTGATGAGGCTTTTGATTTTCTAGATCGTTTAGCCGAGAATGCAGAGTCTTGGGATACTACGTCCCAAGAACCTTCTAAGAATAGGAATGTTAATTCTTCATCAATTGGGGGCAAGTATCAATTGAGAGATGATGATGACTTAAGGGTAAGAATTACTACATTGTCTAGGAGGGTTGAGGCTATAGAATTTAAAAATTTAATGAAATTGATGTTGTTTCTACTTAGAAAATTTACAGCATTTGTGAATCCCTGGACACCCCATAAAGGGGTGTCCAACAATTCCTATTTTAAAAGAAGTCCAACATAATCAAGCAAATGTCGCAAATACTATCTCAAAGTCTTATAACAACCCATATTCAAATACATATAACCCTGGCTGAAAAAATCACCCCAATTTTAGTTGAAGGTGTGAAAATCATACATCACAAATACCTCAACAAAATTCCTCTAATTTTATTCCCTACACTCCACCCCCTGAGAGGAATTTTGAAGATGTATTATCTCAATTCATGCAAAGTCAAACTAACTTTAATAATCAAACCACTCAGCTATAAATAATATCAGAAGTACTCTTACTAAATTGACTACTGCCCCATGCCATCAAGAGAAAGGTAAACTTTCAGTTCAACCCTAACTAAATCCGCAAGGTCAATTTAATGTAAATGAGACTCTCACATTTGATACTGTACATAAGCAGGTTAAGTCTATCACCATACTTCGTAGTGGGAAAGTAATAAACAAAATTGTTCTTACTAGAGTTCAAGATTCTGAAAGAATTTCAAAACCTATGAAGAGTGATGATAAATTTGACCAATCTGAAATCATGAAGCCTGAGAGAAATTTGACATTTGTACCATTCCCACAAAGAAATGTGTCAAGCCAAACATACACAATGATATGATGAAAATATTTAAATAAGTTAAGATCAATATTCCCTTGTTGGATACTATAAAACAAATACCTTATACAAATTTTTTGAAAGATTTGTACACTGTCAAAAGAAAATAAAATGTGCAAAATAAGGCATTTTTAACTGAACAGGTATCTTCCATCATTCAACATAAGACTCCACCCAAGTATAAAAACCCTGGTTGTCCTACCATCTCTTGTGTTATTGACAATCATAAAATTGAACAAGTTTTACTAGATTTGGAAGCTAGTGTGAATTTACTTCCATATTCATTATATGAACAATTAAGGTTAGGGGAGTTAAAACCCACTTCTGTTACATTCCAATTGGCTAACTATTCAGTGAAAATACCTAGGGGTATGGTGGAAGATGCTTTGGTCTATGTTGATAATTTCTACTGTCCTGTGGATTTTATTATTTTGGATACACAACCTGTGTTAAGTTTTAATGTCAGATTCCTGTCATATTAGGCAGAGCATTCTTGGCTACTTCGAATGCTTTGATTAATTGCAGGAATTGTGTGATGAAACTATCTTTTTGTAATATGACATTAGAACTTAATATTTTTAATGTGTGCAAATAACCTGGAGAAATTGAGGATGATGTGCATGAGGTAAATATGATTGAATTTATTGTTCCAAACAGAGTATATGATCTCTCTTTGTTTGATCTACTTGAAGCATGTTTGTCCATCTTTGTTAGAAATAAGTGAAAATAATTCTAAAATTAGTAAACTAACTTCCTTATTAAATTCCTCACAGGTTTTTGAGGTGCAAGATTGGAAACCGAAGTTCGACGAGTTTTCACCAAAAACCAATCGACCAATTTCATCAAGTGCTAAGGTTACCAAGCTCGAATTAAAACCATTAATGGAAAAGATTAATCATTTGTTCAGAAAAAGGTGGTAAATGTGATGATTTATTAAAGATTTGTTATTATGATACTAATGGAAGAATTCTGTTTGTTTTGCAGGAAAATGATTAAAAAAATTGGAGAGATAAAGGTGAATGAAGAAGAGCAGCTAAGTTAGACTTACTGGAATGCGCATCCGGACAAAGGATTGCTATTGTGTCTAGACAAAGTTGACAGAATGAGAAGATGGACGTGCTTTGAAGAATTGGAGCATACTGCCAAGTGCGTCCGGACGGTTGAATATACACGTTCGGACGCGTGTCGTTAAGGATGCCAACGCCAGTAGTAGAGTTGGATTTCAATTGGATCTTTTCTGAAGGGAAATATTTATAACGAGGGGATAGTTGGGGTAGGAGTCGGCTTTTACTTTAGTATTCCTATTTATTTTCTGGTTAAATTTCATCATGTTTGGCTAAGAGGTCTGACTACGGTTAGGCGAGAACCTCTCAACGAAGTACGGTATTATTATTGACTTATTGGTTTAATAGTATGTGGTATTTTGTTTATTTAACTTTTGATTATTAGTAAAGTTTTTACTTTGTAAAGATTCTTGAGTCGTTGTGTCTTATACTTTGATTTCTTGAATTGTCATGCGAGACAAATAACTAATTATTTTTTACTTAAGTTAATTACAATTTATTTCACAGAATAATATAGCTTGAGGATTGTGTGGTTAAGTCAAGAATTCGATTGCTAAGAAAGTTTAATTTATTATAGAATTCAGGTACAGTAAATACTTACAATCGACAATCAGTTCTTTGATTTTTCTGAATAAACCTTTGATTATAAATAATGGTGTTTTCTTGTTCTCATTGCTAAATTCACTGACTGGAGTCAGTTGATGGTTCCACTCTTGTCTATATTTGAAAACTAAATATTTAATCATTACTGTATGAATTTAAGAGGATGTACATGATGCTCTAGTACTTTACATATTGTTTTAATTAATTCATTTACTTATACCAATTCAAACACTCTTTTTGAGAAACATTTTTACAAGTTGTTAACAGATTTAGTGTGGCAACTATTGTTTTTACTATTCCCTGAGGGTTCAACCTCGGTCTTCGGAATCTATATTATTTTACACAACCTGCGCTTGGGTTAACATATTTAAAGTTATACCACTATACTCTTAATCACATATCATCATATCTGTTGAAATGGTAGAACATTCTAGTGGAAAAACATCTTTTTATATTGGTCCCAAAATTCCATCGGATTACATCCCCAACACATACATGCAACTATTTTAGTTCACCAGCCTCGGTGGAAAATTCCCGGAAGAGAAAGAAAACATCTCTTACTTCAAAAGCCACCACCTCTCTTAAACGTGTCTTTGTAATCATTTAATGACATATCCATCCCAAGGAGAGAAGTATAAAAAGGAGTGGATGTGACTTGTAGCTTCTTAAAGAGCTTTGAACTAGAATAGTTTCTAAGGACACCAGAGCTAGCCAACAAACATGTTCAAAACTGGCAGGAATTAATTTGGTACCTGTATCTTGGACTGAAAGGTCAAAAATGCCTCCGAAATTGTCGGCAATGGAGGTTCTTTAGCTTTGTGATCTTTTTCCTCCTCTTCCTGGCCTCCGCAGCTGCAGCTGCATCTACTAGCTTCTCACTTGAGCAGACTGTTGGCTCCTGATTGTTTTCTGGCAATGCATTTACCATCTGACTAACCGTTGCAGAAACAGCTGTAACGGTAGATATGTAATCAGGTTGTGCACTAGTCTCAGCTTCGACATGGACCACAGGCCTGACACAAGTCAATGGTCCGGGCACAAGAACCATCTTTTTACTGCAAGGCCCAATTTGCTGACCACCGCCATCCGGTGGGAAACAAAATGTGCTCTCACGAAGATTGTTCGAAGGTATGGATTCTGTAGGTTTAGAAGCTTCTGTTTTAACTACTCTAGGTAATGGTGAGTTGTGGTTCTCTACATGTGCTGTAGCTTTTGAAGATGAACTAGGCCAACACAGGTTATTCAGACGAGTTTCATTTAGTTGATTGTTTATATCGAATGGCTGATAGTGGAATCCACTAGTGTTGCTGGGTACAGGGGAAAAACCCAGACATGGAAATATATATGGGGGAGTTCCCAGGCTATTCACCATCATGGAATTTTCTTGTTCATGAAGTGAATCAACTTCGCCATAAGCTGGCATGGGGACTTGTGGTGGAGTGCCAGTGACATTCTGAAGCCCGCACTGAAATTGGAGATAATTTGAAGAATGTATGAAAGGACGCCACAGAAATGGTGTGTGAGGGGATTGGTTATAAATGATAAATGGACTATTAGTGGATAGAAACCTAGAATGATCAACATTTTGCGCCTTTGATTCTTCTTGATTCTCATCTGTTTCAGCCTTCATTACCTCAGCTATCTGCAAAATGAGAGTGCATTTTAAATGAGTGCAATTGTGCAAACCATACTAAAATAAAGAATCTCTTCAACATCAACCATTTTTCACCTGTGCTTTCAAGTATTCATTTGTGCTCTTCAGAGTGTCATATTCTTTCACAGCCAACTCCTTTTCCTTCTCAATTTCAACAAGAGAGAATGAATTCCCAGAATTGAGATGCTAAGATAAGATGTTTAAATAACTTCCAATATGGAGGCGAAGATTGGCGAGGGATTAAGAACATCATGCATAAGATAAGAATATCCAAATACTGCTAGAACACAAGACTATCACCAAAGCAGCATGATTAAACCATGATATTGAATTAATGCAAGGACTACCTACCCTCTTCAAATTTTCATTCTCAAGTGCTAGATCAGCAACTTTTCTGGTGAACTCCTCGTAAAGAACCTAATAAAAGAAAAAATAAAGTGCTGAGTAATAATAACTGAAGAAAACTTCAAGTTGACCAAATTGGCACTCGCAAATACATTGTACTGATTTTCAGAAAGTAATGCTTCTGAGCAAAGCCCACTGCGTTCAACAATAAAAGCAAATCCAACAAATTATGCAATTCCAAGCTGCAAGTGCTTGCTTACTCCAAAGCATGCCCACACAGGCCGAACCGAACACCACTGGGCACTAGCAAACGTGATTCAATATTCAGCTATATGTGATGCATTAAGGTAGAAGAATGGGGATCAAATTGTTAAGCAGACATCAAGGACACTTGCTACATTGTTTCTATTATGGCTTGCATCTCTCGGAATGACTACAGAATACAAATGAAATGAGAGAGAGACACCAATTATGTGACATATAATGCACATCCTAGGCCCATCACCTTAACCCCTTCCCCTGCTCTCTGGTCCTTATCGATCTGGCATATTCACCGCAATCAGTGAACTAATTAACCTAGAAAACCAAACCTATTTGACCCTTTTCTCTTCTAAGAGGTCCACAACATTCACCTCCACCTGTAAACCCTAGAAGTGCAACTTATGTAACAATATAGTCAATCATGTCAGAATTTACATATTGCATGAATATGCTTCAAACCCCGAAGTGTACAACCACATTATTTTTCAAACAAAAAAGGGAATATACTAACCGGTAGAGCATCCAACTCAAAACCAATTGGTAGTGAGTGGAGAGGCCTCTTAAGATATAAACCAATATGCTCCTAATCATAGACGAAGATGCATACGGAAAATGCAAATAGGTAAGAGACTTGACCCAATCCCAACCCAAGGCCCACCTCTGGTATCATGCTAAAGCATCCAACTCCAAACCCTGAAACATAGAAACCAACCTTAGGTGGTCCTAACCATGTGAAATACAAGCTCTCTCTACACTAACTACCAAATGTACTCTAAGGTCAAGGATACATTGCAAGTACCATATATCCAAAACCTAGTCCAACTACCTTTCTAATCCTACACATAAATTTACTTGTCTTTCATCCACAAAAACAAAAAGAGAAAACCAAACTTTGAGAGCTGATTTGACGCAGGAGCCACTTACTAATGATTCCAGAAGCAGCTCCCAACCATAACCCACTAAGATAAACTTTCACCACCAAAGCTGATTGACTTCCAGTTATCTTAACCTAAATTACAGACACCTTTAGTCGGTACCAGAAATAAACGTCCAGCTTTCCATCTTTCCTGTTATAAGCATTTCAGGAAGGTAGTAAGGGTATAGTACATATGTCACACTCATTCCCCATAGCCACATAAGATTGAGCAACACCAATTTGAATTCTGATGAACTGTCACTTTAAGAGGAACCAACAAGCAATCACAATGGTGAGGTAATCATAACAACGGAATATCCATGACTACACTGCTATGGGATAACATTTTGGATGATGCAGTAACTAAAAAGGGAAGGTAAAGAAAAATGCAAAAAGAGGAACGAGCCACTCAGAATTCTATTTTAGCAGACTAAGAACATTGAGCAATCAAAGAGAGCAAGATGCAGTACCCATATTGGGTGGTTCAACATGGTGAAAGAAATACCCTAATATATGAATTTTGGAATACTGTTACTCTAAAACCCTAATTCAACAGTGCTATAGTACCTAGAAATTTTCTGTCCCTATGTTCACTTGCCTGCAAACCACACCATTTGATAGGACAACGCTTATTAATAGACTTATAGACAGAGACGTAGATGCTGGCTGCTAGCAAGGTGTTCAGTGACATATTATATATGGTAAAATGATTGAGTTCTTTTTTTTTTTGGTACTGGAAATGATTGAGTTCTGAGAATTTGATCTGTTTGCAATAGATAAGTACAATTGACGCTTGGATCGTGTACACAAATACACAAACACACAGAGACTGAGTTAAGTTTGGTTTTCAGTGAACATCCATATAACAAGAAGAGCTTGAGATAGAGGATATGTGTAATAGGTATAAAAAATAGAAAAAATCCAAGGCCAACAGTAGAGTTGAGTAGCAAGACAGCTTCACCCATGTTTGAACTGAGATTAAGATATAAATGCAAAGCATCCAGAATGAACAAAGAAAAAGAAATAAATATCAAAGATGGTCCCAAACATGCAGGAAATGAACTATTTCGATAAAATAAATCGAGAGCACAAAACCACAAAAAAAAGGTTTTTTAATGTATCACAACTCAGCCAACCAGATAGTGAAAAGAAGATTTGCAAGTTGACTACTGAAGCTGAGTAGTTAGTGATCAAAAGATGTATTGAATTGTGCAAAACGGGCTTACCTGCCTACGGCGAATAGTCTGCCTTGCTGACTCTCTGTTTGCCAATACCCGACGAATCCTCCGTGCTTCATTTTCAGCCTAGATAGGGAAACCTTTAATTTCTTAAAATGATTGCATTTCAGCCAAAATTTTAGAAAGAAACAGAAAATTTTGGCACCTCAGCTAAATTCTGCCTAGACTTGTTGCAGCCAGATGAATCATAACTTTTGGTGCATACAAGACACTGTTTAGCTAATTCATCTTCCTGCTTAACCTCCACTGGTTTTATCATCACATTGCATCTCTTTTCGAACTGCTGCTGAAACACTAATGCTCGATCCTGCTATCAAAGAAATTCTTACAAAATAAGTGCAATTTTTCATTGGGATTTAAATATGAGAAGTGGACTCTAATTATAGGTGGAGAGAGAGAGAGAGAGTAGCGCATGCCATCTCCTTTGTATTTCTGGGCTGTTTCTACAGAAGACTATCCAACATATCCGTGAGAACCAATAAAGGCGTGAAAAATCTCTCCTATGGTGAATTTCAAATGAGAATATTTAGATGTTATTTGAAATATGGTCACTGGTAAGGCTTACGCCCATAGGAGGATTCTGTCAATTATCTAAATATATCAGCGTGTTTAAGCTACTCAATCTCCGGCAAACGTAAATATAAATAAACATATAAAAATCCACCCATCCAAATCAGTAAATACAGACACACCTAAGATAAATTCATTCGTATAAGATGCTTACTGAAGCCATTCAGAAGAAACTGCATAGTAGGCTAAAAAATCTTAGCAAAGAACAAGCGAAGGAACAAGTTCAGAATTATGTCAATGTCGTGGATGCACACGCCAAAGCAATAGAGCTTCCATGTACTCATCAACATTCTTGTCAAGAATTCTGAAATTTCAGTGAAGGACAAGGATAAAAAAACAAAACCACAAGTACAAACAGACGAATCTCGGATCCAGCTTCATACTTGTGCAAAAACAGAGACATGCGACTGGAATTATTCAAAACCACCAGGCTTCGAAATTACAGGCCCTGAAGGTCCAGATATTTCAATTTAACTGATGGATCCACATTACAAGATTTCCCAGTTCTCTAATGCATAAAGCCACAAAAGGCTCAACACCAAATGGTTTTCTTATGTCTACTTCATGCTCAGTCTCACATCTCATGTTTCTTTTGTTGTTATAAGCTACACTAGCCATAGTTGATCTACATTTGATCACTCCAAACTATATAGAAAGGCTGAAAAATAAGATAAACCTTCTACCAACTAGTATGAGGAGAAGAGCTTACATGCAATGGGGAAATCCAAATAGTTGTACGTCAACTTCTTGAATCTTTTGTATACGATTGACCAATTAAAAGAAAACAAGTAAAAAACTAAGACTAGCAACTAAACAAAGTGTAAGTCTGCCTAGAAATAGAACAACCATTCAATTAAATCACCACAGGAGTCATTGTGTAATACAGTCATAAAATGATCGGGCTGACATTGAAAGAATTGTGTGTTCAAATGTCAGGAGTGCTAAGGTTGCGGATTCAAATAGGAGGATAGTCACTTACTGAATCTAATGAAATACTGCAATGCTGTGCTCAGTCTTCCCACCTCAGTGCCATTCCAAGAACCAAATTGAACAGTTACCTTTTTCATTTAAGTCAATCGAAGATTGAACCCATAGAATGACATGAACCATTAAGCCATTATACCTTTTCTCTTCATCAAAACCCACAATACCTTCCCTCAAAAATTCAATCATCAAAAAGTTTCTAGCTGATATTTCTAATCCTTAAGAAGTTACTTACCTTGCTTGAGAGTGATAGTTGCAGTCTAAGTTTCTAGCTGACATTTCTAATCCTTAAGAAGTTTCTTACCTTGCTTGAGAGTTATAGTGGCAGTCTCAATCTATATTCCCTAATCAGATTCAAAAATCTAATCCTCAATAAATTGCGAAGTTGATAATTGAACACAAAATAGTGAAACATTCAAATTAATAGTAACAGCAATTCATCAAGCACACACACATATATATATTTAAAGGTATGCAACGAAATCGAAATAACCTCATCGAGAACCGAAGACCTTGCAACCGAGTCTTCCCGGTTAGTCGTCCCTGTGTCAACTGCGTTCTTGACTCGCTGACTCACTGATTCGGTGACAGTATTGCCGCTGCCTCCCGCCGCCGAGTAGTGCGCTAGACCCGCCAACGCTTCCGCCGCATCCAGCTCCATTTTCAGCATCCCGCATTCCCCCGAAGCTTCCCCTTCCTCCGCCGTGTGCAACCGAGAAGCTGACGGCGAAGACTTTGTTGCGGCTCCATTATGAGTCAACTCATCGTCCATGTTAGTCTGTGTATCTAAAAGACAGAGAGAGCCAATTTTAAGGTGGCTCTGTGTGTGTAAGAGAGAGAGAGAGAGAGAGAGAGAGAGAGCTTCAGCTTTAAGGCCTGAGGAGTGAGGAGGAACAGAACGTGCAGAGAGATGACTAGTTAACGAAGGGGGAATATGCCACGTGTCATGACACCAAAATCGAGGTCCTGCATGTATGTTCGCCACGTGTCCGATTAACCCACGTTGGAAGTTTCGCGCGTTGTAATCATCTCGCGCGTGGGACGGATGACTCTTGGAGTACAAAGGCAGGTGTAACACGTAGCCTATTTGGGCAAGTGACACGTGGTACCAAAAACATGTGTCCGATTTTTGAGGTTGCTGGCGGGCCCTGGTGAGCCACAGGGGACCACAAAAGCACTCTAATTTTGGAATGGAAGATAATTGGTGCAGCATAGGGTGAGCCAGTGGGTAAACCAATCAATCCCTTATGGGTGCCTAGGCATTCATCGGACCACCCAGGCTCAAAATTTGCCACTCATCCTCAAGTTGTTCCACTTTATTATGTATTCAAGTTTTAGTTATAAAATTTCATTTTTCAAATGAGATGATCATATCATTCGCCAACATATAAGTGGGGTTTAAATCAAACGATGCAATCATATTATCACCAACAGAAAAGTGGAGTTTTTGAGGGCTGGATTATTTGAAGAGGTTGAATTGATTTTCTCAAAACTCTTTTAAATCTAAATTTTTTTTTTATAAAGATGGGATTCAATATTGAATTCATTTCATATCCATATTTGATATGCAATACTTACACATATAAGATCCACATATATCATAATTATTAACAACTATTTGTCTTATAAATAACTATTTTATTTTTGATCAATTTAATTTATACTCGTGTTAAAGGGTATAATTGTCTTTTGAATCCTTAAACCCTTAACTCATCTTCCCCAGCCCACCCCCTCTTAAGTTTGATGAAACTCATGATCATGGATTTAATATTCGAGACAACTGCAGGCTGAATTTAAGGACTCAAGATTAAGTTTTCAATCAAAACATGGGGTTTATGGGTCATTTGAACTATTTTTCCCAAACTCATCTACTCAAACCCCTCGTACTCATTTTATCAAACAGCCCCTGAGGGTAATGTTACCGTATCAAAAAAAATCCAGTATTATACCTATTATGAATTATCTTAAGCAATTGTAATTTTACATTTAAAATATATAACTTGACCATTATAAATTGTAATTTTACATTAAAAATGTGTAATTTAATCTCTCTTGTTTTGGTTTAAAAGTCAGGGATATCTGGACTAATTTACACACATCTCAATTATTTCTTCCCCAATCCAATCAAAAGAAAGTCATCCACTCATGAACTAAGATATTTATGATGAATAAATTTCTCATGGCCTAACTCTAAGGGATTACCAAAATTCAATTCATAACGTATAAATTTATAACTCGTCTCTATTATCAATTGAGTTACCCTCTAGATTTATAATTTAACATTTAAAAGTGAATATTTTACTTCAATCTTTTCATGTGTTAACTTGAATTGGAGTATTGAAGATGAAGATGGTCAACTATTATTTAATTTGTTGCTTCATTAATGGCTTAATATGTTGCATTGTATTAGTCATATACATTTACTAGTTATTGTCCGTGTCTGAAGGCACTGTACGACGAAAAAAAATCAACTTAAAAAAATGAACATTAGCAAGAGAAAAAAGCGGTGCACATAATGATAACAATAAATATCTAAAGACGATGAATATATAAAAAATGTACAAAAATTACCTCTAAAAACATAATTAAAAAAATTTAAACATATGCACAATTTACATATTTTATCTTCGTACCTTAAAAAGCTATTATTCATTACTTATTATTAATTTGCTCATAGTAGTAAAAAAAATTAATTAACATGCATATCAAATAAAAGAACGCTTTTTGATATCAAATAATCACTCTCTCCATACGGTTAAAGTGCAAATCCTCATTCTAAATCAACTTGATCTAACATATAACTATTATTTTTCAAATAAAATTCACACCATAGAAATAGGTATAAAAGAAATTACAAAGCATTCAAGAGACTATCTAAAAAATTGCTCGAAAATAACATTGGTTCTTTAAGTAACTTGAATTCCAATAAGTTCCAGACATTGAAAATGTACCCAACAAACTATTGAAACACTATTGCATTTGAAGTAATTAAAGTAATTAAAATCAATCCCCCTCACCTCTCCTTTCTCTCTCCTACCTCAAAACTCTAGAGCCCACATTTTCTTTGACAACAAAATTAAAACAAAAAGCAATAAACCGAAGTACAATCACAAATATCATAGTATGAGAACAATTATGTACATCGAACCCAATCTGTAATTGCACAATTCATTTGTGATTGTACTTATTCTGCATCACTATCCTGAATGTCCGTGTATCAATACGTATACGATACCGCAAGTTAGATGATTGCACAACTACCTAATTTTTTAGAAAGAAAAAAAAAATATTAGTCAATTATATTACTTAAAAAAATTGTATACTTCATTGCAACAATATAAGATTTATGTTACCTCGTTAGTGTATTTCCATCGTAAAAGCTGAGTTGTATTTATTCTTTTCATCTCTCTGACAATTTCAGACCAATCCTACAAAAATTGATATGTACTATAAAGTTAAGCATTAATTATATTAATTAGTTGAATATTTTATAGAAGTACATTTTGAACTAAATGGTACCTTTTATTTACCAATAAATACAAAACACTGTAACAAAACTTCAGGATAAACAATATTTGTTGTGAAATTACATTCATTTTCAGGAAGAATGACACTTATACGATCAAAAGATGTACATCTGGATAACGCCACATACAGATGTCCATGACTAAACACTGGTGTACGCAAATCAACCCCAACGAATTTCAAAAACTGTCCTTGAGATTTATTAATTGTCATAGCGTATGTCAATCGGACACGAAATTGTCGTCTTGTCATCTGAAAAGGCAATTCTTAAGATGTTGGTGTCAAATATATTCTTGGAATAATGACCAAATTGCCAATTTTATCTCCATTTAAAATATGAGCTTCAATTACACGCGTAGCACATCTGACAACCATCAATCGTGTACCATTACAAAGCCCATCTTTCGGCGCTATATTTTTCAAAAGCATTATTGGACAACCCACTTTCAAATTTAACTTAAGCGGTGGTAATCCCAGAGGATTTAGAGAGTTTAAACACTCATTAGGATATCGATTCGTGATAGAGCGATCAACTTCATCACTATCAACCATTTTATCTGCAACTAAATATGTAATCGTATCTCCCAGTGAAATATTCAATATTACATCATTTATAGCACATACATCATCATTCCTTGTAGAAAGAACTATATGCTCAGTTAGGAAGTCCGAGGTCACTACACTAACCATATCCAAATGTGGATAAATTTTATCTATCATTTCTTGTAGACTACGACACTTATGTATTGTTGATGGAAGTTCTACGATTTCTTGTGGATTAGTCCCAGCCTAAAAATTATAAGTACAATTAGAGAATAGGAACAAATACTAATTTCAAAAATAACATTTCATAAAATTAATGATCAATGAAATATTACCTCCATTAAAAACTTGGCAAATTCAGCATTTCCAGAATCTATGTTAGTTAAGCGCATGTTTACCTCCAAAGTTAGAACATGTATATTCTTCCATAATACAGATCGTCTCAATGACGCACCTACAAATTGCTCACGAACTCCTTTCGATATAATTGGCAAGATTTGTCAAAAATCTCCACCAAGAGCAACCTTGATACCTCCAAATGGCTTTTGATTATCACAAATATCTTGAAACGTACGATCATTGTCTCAACACAGTATCTATGTTGTATTAGAACTTCATCTCATATTATTAGTTTAGTTGATCTGAACAATTCTGCATGCTTTAATTGCCTGGTGAACCCATAAATCGAATCCTCAAGCACACTCAAGAGAATGCAAAATGTTGAATGTGTTGTACGACCTCCCATTAATAACAAAGATGCAATACCGGATGAAGGTACAATAACGACGATATGTCCAAGACTACGCATTTTTGTCATAATTGTATATAGAAACGTTTTTCCTGTTCCGGCACCCCCACTCAAGAAGAAAGTAACTCCTTTATTTTTAATTACTAATAAAGTGATTGCAGTATAAGCAATACATTGTGCATCGTTAACACAATCAACATTATTTTATACACTCGACTGCTGCGCTTCATTCTGAAAGTGTTGATGCTCAAACAAAAATCAGTTACCAATTATTACATTCCAATTTTTAGTCGATTGTGGCATGGGTGGAAAATCCAATATACTCTTGCCTAACTCATGGAGCAGCTGATTTAGCGAATATAAACCATAATCTTCAATTTGATCTTGATTAGGAGTTGAAATGCCAAACATTGTACGAATTTTGTGGCTAAGGTCATCACATAAATGCATTGAGAATTGATTCCATAACTCAAGTGAATGCAACAAAAAGTATTCTATGAGAATAATACTAAACAATCTCCTCAACTGGTATCCTATTTGCATAATTGAAGTTTCTTGAATACATTGTATCCACTCTCCATCATCTTCTCGAAGTCCTCTTGCAATACATGTTGATTTAAAAGTATCGTGCATAATATTATTTACCGTGCGTAAGTTATCAAATAATGTCAGTCCTTTGACTATAGTGAGTAACAAACGTAGACAAAAACACTCACCTGAATTTGGGCTTGCAAAGTACATTCTACCAATTGCGTACCCCCTTTGTCTAGGTGTCCATCTATGTGTTTTCTTATTCCAAACAAATTTTTGAGGAAACTCTTGGTAGGTTAACGCACATGCAGATTCATTTAAACAACAACATTCAAAAAAACCTGTCAAAGTTGTATTCTGTTGTGTACTTTTAGAAATGATTGTATCAAGTGATTCTGCCGGATTATAAACGACACGATGCATCT